GAAGTTTAGTTAATGAAAAGTTCATAGTGTTTTCTCTCACTTTCGATCATAAAAACTAACATGGTCTCAGATTAAGATCTGATTTCGTCTTCCGCAATCATCTTTCTTATTCAATTTTCAAGTGTTTCTTATCTTGTTCTGTTATTTTCTTCAATCATCTGTTGAAATGGCTGAATCAACAATCAATTCCACCGATCCAAATGTTCTTCCTGTTTCCAGTCCGTTTTATATAGGATCATCTGATAATCCTAGCTCTGTTTTGGTCACAAACATCTTCAATGGTGTTGGATTCACAGCCTGTCGTCGATCTATGACCATCGCTTTATCAGCCAAGAACAAATTAGGGTTTGTCGATGGTTCAATTCCACAACCTGCTCCTAATTCTTCTTCTTATTCCAACTGGTATCGTGCTAATTCAATGGTCATCAGTTGGCTTCTTAACTCACTCCATAAGAACATTGCAGACATCGTGCTCTTTCTTCAAACTGCTTCTGCGATTTGGAAAGAACTCAATCAAAGATATGAGCAATCAAGTGGTGTTGTGATTTATCAAATTCAACAACAACTCTATTCAATTACACAAGGATCACATGATTTCTCAACATACTATACGAAATTGATGAAGATATGGGATGAGCTTCGTGTTGTACAAGATCTCCCAGCATGTTCTTGTGGTACTGCAACAGCTATTCAGAAATTTCTTGATGATCAGAGATTGATTCAACTTCTAATGGGGCTCAATGACTCATACAAGATAATTAGGGGACAAATAGTCATGATGAAGCCTCTTCCTTCTTTGTCAACTGCTTATGCCCTTATTGTTCAAGAAGAGCATCAAAGAGAGGTTCATTCTTCCTTCTTCCCCTCTTATTAACAGTGATGCCATGGCTATGCAAATTTCTTCTACACACTTTAATAATTCTTCCAAACGAACACTGACTTGCACTCATTGTAAGAAGAATGGTCATACTAAAACAAATTGTTATCGATTGGTTGGATTTCCCCCAAATTTCAAGTTCACCAAAGGAAAAAAAGAAGATTCTTCATCTTCTGTTCATAATGTTGCTACAATATCTACTGGTCAAAATGTTCCCACATCTCCATCCATGAATTTCACTGCTGAACAATATCATCAACTGTTTCAATTACTTAGCAACAATAACATCAGTTCTACTCAAGTCAATTCTTCTATCTCTGAAGGGGCACTTAATTCAGATGGTAAAACCTTTTCCTTCAAACATTTTTGTGCCAATGTTTACAAGTCATCCAATCTTTTGCATAAACATAAATCATGGATTGTTGATTCGGGTGCCACTGACCATATTTGTTCTAATCCATCATTTTTTGTATCCATGTCCAAACTTGCTCTTCCACAGTTAATTGGACTTCCTAATGGTAATGACACTTCTGTCCATTATGTTGGTGATGTTGAGATTCATGAATCAATAATCCTTCATGGTGTCTTGTACGTTCCTGATTTCAAATATAATCTTGTGTCGATTCCAAAATTAACATCACATCTCAAAACCTTTACAATTTTCACTGATGAAAATTGTCTTCTGCAGGACCCTTCCTTGAAGAATAAATTTGCTCTTGGAGTTCTTGGAAAAAGGGTTAATGATTTGTATGTTTTTGATCATGATGATCTAAAGACTTCACTCAAATTCAATTTGTCTGTTTTTACATCTTCGTTGTCTTGTCAAACTTCTGTTTTTACTCCTTGTAAAAGTCCAAACACAATGTTATGGCATAATAGACTTGGTCATATTCCTGTTGCAAAACTCAAAACATTATCTCTTGTAACATCCAGTTGTCATGATTCAGATGTTCGTTCTTGTATCATTTGTTCTAAAGCTAAACAACATAGGTTACCATTTCCTGTTAGTTCATCTCTTTCTAAATCTCCTTTTGACTTGATACATGTGGATGTTTGGGGACCATATAAACACATAACACATGATGGTTTCAAGTATTTCATAACCATTGTAGATGACTACAGTAGACATACATGGATTCATCTTCTTTCTCATAAGAGTTATGCTTTGTCCTCAATCAAAACTTTTGTTAAGATGATTAAAACTCAATTCCAGACAATGGTAAAGATTATTCGAACAGATAATGCAATGGAGTTGGGATCAAGTGTTGAGGGTACTTCATTTTTTCAAGACAATGGTATAATCCATCAAAAGTCCACCTCTTATACCCCTCAGCAAAATGGGGTAGTAGAACGCAAACACAAACACATTCTCGAAACTGCTAGAGCTCTTTATTTTCAATCGGGAATTGGTATACAATATTGGGGAGAGTGTGTGAAAACTTCTGTTCATCTCATAAACAGGATGCCATTCACAATTCTCAATAATAATAGTCCTTTCGAACTTCTTTACAATAAAAAGCCTTCTTTACAACAATTGAAGAGTTTTGGATGCTTATGCTATGTTTCAACCACAAACAATGGCAGAGACAAGTTTATGCCACGTGCAAGATCTTGCATTTTTATCGGGTATCCACAAGGGCAAAAAGCATACAAATTGTTGGATTTAACAACCAATCACATTCTCATCTCAAGAGATGTTAAATTTTTTGAAAACATATTCCCTTTACATTCCATTCAACAATCTTCTACATTGGACTCTTTTTTACCCAACTCTTGCACTGATGATTTCTGTTCAGAAAATCAATCCATTTCAACTTCTACTAATACTACAATTCCTTCACCCATTCAACCAAATTTGCCATCTGTCAATCAACCTTTAAGGAGAACTACACGTACCAGTAGACCTCCAGCCCATCTACAAGATTACTTATGTCAACATGTGGCTTCTCAAGGTTCTGCTGATGTTTGTTCTCATACCCTCACAAATCTTTGTATTAACATTCCTTCTCAAGATCCCACAAGCTATTCTATGAATGTCTCTACACTTGATAAAATCAATTTGGAGAGTCATAAAGAGCCTGCATTTTATCATGAAGCCAAGGGAATACCACATTGGGAAGAAGCAATGCAGAAAGAGTTAAATGCATTAGTCTTGAATAACACATGGACAATTGTTTCTCTTCCTAAAGGCAAAAAACCTATTGCCTGTAGGTGGGTGTACAAAATAAAATACAAAGCAGATGGTAGTCTTGAGAAACACAAAGCAAGATTAGTTGCCAAGGGTTTCACTCAAAAAGAAGGTGTGGATTATCACGAAACTTTTTCACCTGTGATAAAGTTTAACACAATTCGATGCATTGTTTCAATTGTTGTTAAACGGGGATGGAATATTCATCAATTTGATGTTAACAATGCCTTTCTTCATGGTGATTTACATGAAGAGGTTTATATGCGTGTCCCACCTGGATTCAATGTTTCATCTCCTTCACAAGTTTGCAAGCTCAACAAGTCGTTATATGGATTGAAACAGGCTTCTAGACAATGGTATGCCAAATTGTCTTCAGCCTTATCTTCAAGAGGGTATAAAAGGTCATGCAATGATTATTCACTCTTTATTAAGAAAACTCAGGATCATATAGTCATTGTGGCAGTTTATGTGGATGATATTTTGGTAACAGGTGATGATTCTATTGAAATTGAGAATCTAAAAGCTTCTTTGCATGCACAATTTCAAATTAAAGATCTGGGACACATACACTATTTTTTGGGTATTGAATTCAACAAAGTAAATGGAAGCATGATAGTTCATCAACAGAAGTACATCAAAGAATTACTTTCTACTTACTCTATGCTAGATTCATCAACAGTTACTACTCCATTACCTCCTAAACTTCAATTACTTCCTCAAATGAATGATCCTTTGTCTGATCCTACAGTATATAGACAGTTAATTGGCAAGTTGAATTTTCTTATTCACACAAGACCAGATTTGGCTTTTTCAGTACAATACTTAAGCCAATTCAATCAGACACCTTCTCAAGTTCATTATCAAGCAGCTCTACATGTGTTGAAGTATCTTAAAGGATCAATTTCTCAAGGGTTGTTCTTTAATGATAAACCATTGTTCAATCTTGAAGCATTTTGCGATTCTGATTGGGCATCATGTCCTATTACAAGGAGAAGTGTTAGTGGTTTCTTTATTTTGTTTGGCAACAATCCAATATCATGGAAATCAAAAAAGCAGGTTACGGTTTCATTATCTTCTGCAGAAGCTGAGTACAGGTCAATGAGACGTGTCTATGCAGAATTGGCATGGTTTAGTAGACTTTTGAGTGAATTACATGTCTCTAACATCACTCCAATTCCATTAAAGTGCGATAATCAGGCTGCTATATACATTGCAACCAATCCTGTGTTTCACGAAAGGACAAAGCACATTGAATTGGACTGTCATTTTGTTCGAGAAAAGTTGCAAGCAGGGCATATTTCTTTGTCTCATGTCAATACTCATGAACAATTGGTAGATGTGTTTACAAAATCTCTTTATGGACCTCAACATCGTCATGCTATTTCCAAGCTTGGGTTACTTCCCTATCCTCCAGCTTGAGGGGGGTGTCACCATCTCTCAAATGATCTAAAGGGTATTTCTGTAAATTAGCATGAAGGGTATAACTATAATTTATGATTCAGATAGTTAGAGATGTTGATCCTAGTTGGTTAGTCAGTTAGAAGTTTTGATTCCTGTATAAAATGTAATAAGCTCTATATGGAGAAGTTTAGTTAATGAAAAGTTCATAGTGTTTTCTCTCACTTTCGATCATAAAAACTAACAAATGAGGTAGAAACAAGGCGTAGCCATGAAGGTACTACAATACGATTACCATAATGTTGTGGCTCTTTATGCTGCTACGTATGCTTATTTGTTTTAGAAACATTAGTAATGTCTCGATGGAAAGAAAGAAACAAGCAGATGGAAATAGAAAAATTCAGTGAAGATTGTGAACACAAGGCTCCTAGGTACAATGAAATGATAATTAAGTATTATTTTTCTATACAAAGTCGGAAACTAACACATTGTTTGTATAGCTACTCCAGTTTAGTGCGGCCATACACGGTCTCAACTCTATACAAGGTAGGCTCCCATCGGTAGCAGCAGACATGATTGGTCAAGATCATCACATTCAACTTTGGTTAATTCATTGGAATCTTTGTCCCTGTAAAAGCAAGTACATAGAGTTTCATACAAGCATCACAACAGAATACACCTTGTGATGAAATAAAGACAACCAAATGTTGTATAACTAGAGACTTACGCATTTGAATTTATGCATAGTCCAAGATCAACGAGTAAAAGAGACATATAGTATAAGCAGTCCACCTGGAAGGAGTATATGGTCAAAAGCAATCATAGAGAAAAGGACTTACAATAAGTTCACTTGAAAAAAGATTACCTTCTGGTGGTGTAAAAACACATGAATGACCACTGCCCAGATGTTGGTTGTAAGTAACGAGAAAACTGAAGATCGTGGCTCCAGTACCCTGCATAAATTCGACTATTAATTGTTTATATATAGTGAATCAATACGGCTTTAATTGTTTTTCTTCAGAATTTAACAAACCTCAGAACAAGTGGTATCAAAGTACAGAAGATAAACGCTACTTTTCCATACCATGGGAAACTTAAAATCTGAAAGATATAATAGTGCTTAAAATTAAAGTGGTTGGATAAAGAACAAAAGATAAAAACAGAAACATCTTGAAAGATTTTTACTTACAATTTGAGGCCACAAACATATGGATCTAAGATCCTTTCTCTCAAATAATATTCTAAGGAGTTATTAAGGAAACCAATCTTAGCCCATCGATAGGTGGGTAGATATACTTCAATCCCACATTAAACTAGAAGGATACAACTCTATTAAACTAATTTACATCCCATAAAGACCAAGCATTGTAATCACCTCGACCCTACCAACCTTTTTCACACAAAGATCCTGCATATTTTACTAGTAAGCAATATATATTTCAAATGTAACAAATAAAGGCTAGGAGTACATGCACATTCAAATGGAAACACTAAGAGTATATACTAACCTCACCAACATTGCTTACTGCAAAGAAGTATGTTCCTGCAATAACATGGGCATCACCTAAAATTGGATTTGAGCCACCTGAAACACCAAAAAGGATATTAACCGGAAGTTGTACATGTGAAGAAAATGAATTACCCAATGATGTTGTTACCTCCACCACCCACTCCAGAGTCGGATAGTAGCAATACAGATAGGCCTGTAGCACATATGGTTGCCCCAAACAACTGCCATGAGGAGTACTTAGTGCCAAGAAATTTTCAACTAAGCATTATGGGCCAAACAACTATGGTGCAGTCGAGTATGGTCACACTAGTAATTGACGAGAATTGATGTGCCTTATTTACTTCCTATATATTAGGGTACAAAAACTATCATTTGTGTATACTATATATAGAACTAGGCGAATACCCGCGTGTTGCGCAGAATACAACAATATATTTGAAAATTTTACAAATATATGTTTTTTAAATATATATCAATGACATTGTTATTAGCTTTTATATAATAAATCTTATAATAAGTTGGTATAAATATTGTTTGTTTTGAATTATATGATAATATAGATATATTTTGAAATTGTATAATCCTAAGTGTCATAATGACGTCTACCTGCAAGTTACTTATTAATAAAATGAAATATAATATATGTGTAACACCCAGAATCAGAAAGGCCAAGAAAGGAAAGGAAAACCCTAAGTCAAAGGGGTCAACTCGTCGAGTCCAAGGAAGAACTCGACGAGTCGAAGCGGGATCCGGGTGGAAGAGTAAGTGGCCGAGTCGGCGAGTGGACTCGGCTAGTCAGGTCTGGGTTGGGAAACCCTAATTTCCGGACTTTGTACCCTATTTAAACATCATTCAGGCCTCCACCCCAGCCTCCATCACTCCCCTCACCTACTCTCGAAACCCTAAGCATCCATTGAGTGTCCTTAAGCTTCTCTTGCCATTTTTGAGTGATTTAAAGCAAGAAGGAAGAAGGAAAACCTTGGGGATTCAAGAAGAGGCAGTAGATCTAGAGTTTGGGAAGCATTTCGGCTCAATTGAAGGTATGAAGCTCATACCTTGACTGATAGTCATCTAGATCCTCTTCTTAATCTAGATTTTGTCACTTTTGGGCCTTTAGCTCCTTGGTTTCACGTAAAGTTTGCAACTTTACGTGGGGGATAGACTGTAGAAGAGTGGATCTATGGATTGGAGCCCCTGCATGGCTCGAAAAGCCATTGTATGGATTGAGAACTGGAGAGACTCGGCGAGTCACATGGGTGTACTCGACGAGTTGTATGAATATGTGCATGGGCTCGGCGAGTTGGAAGAACAACTCGGCGAGTCTGTTGAAGATTGCCTAGGACTCAGCGAGTCTGTTCTCGGACTCGACGAGTCAGGTCGCAGAACCCCCAACCTCTTCTGGTTAAGACGCAGATCGGTGAGTTGTGTGGTGACTCAGTGAGTTGGACAGGATGGGACTCAGAGATCGTTGAACTCGACGAGTCCTGGGGTGACACGGCGAGTTGGGTCGTATTTTGAGAGCTTCTGAGTTTAAGGACTCGGCGAGTCTTCGGGTTGACTCGGCGAGTCGAGTCAACTGGAAGGTTGACTTTGACCAGGACTTTGACTTTAACCAGAGTTGACTTAGTTTGACTTCCAGAATTCAGTTTGGAACTAAGTGTTATATTGATTATAGTAGCTCGGGGAGCTAGTGGAGCAGCGGTTCAGAGAAGCTGTCGGACAGCAGCCAGAGGGTTATCAGCAAGGTTTAGTAGTGTAGGTGAGTTTCCCTTTGTGTGGATGGGTCTACGGCCACAATACCGGCCCATGTAGTTATGAGTAGGAAGACCTGGGGGTTAGCCCTAGGCACAGTATGCTAGTATGACATTCGGGACTAAGGTGCAATGTTAGCGGGCGGGTGTCCAAGGAATGGTTTGTATGATAGTTATACTTGTTGTCTGTGTGATACATATATGTGCCTGGTAGGGAGGTGAGTGTGGGCGAGGTCCCGTATCTCACCAATAGCAGAGTGTGGATGGTGTTCGATATCTCATTAGTAGCAGAGCAGGGGGCGAGGCCTAAGTAGGAAAGGAGTGAGTGTGGGTTGGGCCCGTATCTCACTATTAGTAGGAGTGTGGACGGGGTTCCATGACTCATCAGTAGCAGGACAGGGGCGAGGCCCAAGATAGGCGAGGCCCTAGAACAGGATTCAGTAGTATATGTTTAATTATGCGTTGTGATATGATTATGTGTTAGTATATGTTAGCGGGCGGGGCCCAGAGACAGGCGGGGCCTAAAAGAAACAGATATGTACGCCGAGCGGGGCTCGAAGCCAGGCGGGGCCTGGGTCACGCGGGGCCTGGTGACGGACGGGGTCCGATAGCGGGCGAGGCCCAAGGCAGAGGGCGGGGGCCCAGTATATGGTTAAGTGTTCCGGATTGTGTTCGGATCAATAGATTTGTATGATATGTGGTAGGTTGGGGAACTCACTAAGCTTCGTGCTTATGGTTTTCAGTTTTGGTTTCAGGTACTTCCGGTAGCGGAGGGAAGAGCTCGGGGTGATCGCATGGCACACACCATTGATTAGTCAGCCTGGGATGTTTTACACTGATAATGAAAATAAGTTTTGGAATTTATACTCTGATTTATGTTATGATTTCCTTTATGGTTTGACAATTATGTTTTAAGTAATGATTTAAAAGGAAATTTTCAGTCATGATTTTTGGGTCGTTACAAGTTGGTATCAGAGCCTTGGTTTGAGGGATTCGAACATACTTTCGGGTGTGTCTGAACTCAAACTAAGGAATTGGTATAGAAAATTTTCAAAAGGAAAAAAATAATTTTTTTTTATATACGGAGTTTTGAGAAAAGAAAAGAGTTTTAGAAAAAGCGAAAGGAAATTTGGAAAGAAAGGAACTTTGAAAAGAAAAAAAAAAGGGTGTGGTGCATGCAATCAGCCGAGCTCAAGTAAGTACCCCAAAATACCCATACAAGTTTATGTTATGTTTATCAGTTTCAATTTCAGTAGAACAGCATGCTAGAATAGGACTAAGGATCTAGGAGGATGCCTTATGTGCCTGCTATATGTGTTTCAGCTTTATGAGAATTGCATGCTAGTATTGAGTAGACAGTAGTAGGATAGCCTGTTTAGGTTATGCCTGAGTATATGATATTATGTCGCATGCTAGTGCAGTTTCTCGTTATGAGAATAGATTTGCTTGAGTAGTTTCCTGTGTCCGAATGTTGCTTGCTTTGTGCTTTGTAGGACTCTGAGTGATGGGAGTTAACCATTAGGTGAATGCGTCACGTCACATGTGATCACGGTTGAATAATCTCAGAGTGCTGGATTTGGCCCTATTGCGCAGCTCTCGTTTGAGTCTAACCATTGTAGGGACGAGTCTTTTACTCGAAGGATTATCTGAGCCTCGTCACATGTGATGGTATTCAGGTGATGGCTAATTGGCATTACAAGGAGGCCTTCAGCAGCTGAGGACTGGATTGGGTGGAGTCAGAGATTTCCCTAGGGAAAGCCTAGGATGAGAGTAGCAGAGATCAGTAGTAGTAGAAGTGACCTGGTGGAGTCGAAGCAGTTATTGAGGAAAGTACGGATAGATGTGGAAGGTAGTATGGGCCCGTACTACTGAAAGCAGAGGATCCGTACTCGATTCGGGAAGGGCCGAGATGAGACCGGGAAACTTGTAGAGTGTGTGAATGATCCCTCAGCAGTGATGAGTATTCTGATAGTTTTGTGATATGTTTTCAGCATGGTGACTTTGCGTGAGAGACCAGTGGGCGGATCAGGCGCCGGAGAGGGATCAGGCTTGGGTTCAGAAGTATGTTCCGGGTTGTGTTCGGATCAATAGATTTGTATGGTATGTGGTAGGTTGGGGAACTCACTAAGCTTCGTGCTTACGGTTTTCAGTTATGGTTTCAGGTACTTCCGGTAGCGGAGGGAAGAGCTCGGGGTGATCGCATGGCACACACCATTGATTAGTCAGCCTGGGATGTTTTACACTGATAATGAAAATAAGTTTTGGAATTTATACTCTGATTTATGTTATGATTTCCTTTATGGTTTGACAATTATGTTTTAAGTAATGATTTAAAAGGAAATTTTCACTCATGATTTTTGGGTCGTTACAATATGATTTAATGATATTTATAGTTGTTGTTATAATTAATTAATTTTAAAAAGTTTATTTGCTTAAGATTTTAATTTCTATCATTGTAATTATTTAAAACATCAAACATTATTTTTGTTTTTAAAGACAACAATATAATTTTCGTATATAATTTTACTTTTAACTATTGTTGTTGTACATTATTTAAAATAATGTATTTCAAAACTCTTAATTATTTTAATTTGGTTTCAGAAATTTAATGTTTTTAAAATTTATTTGATGAATATTGTTAGTTTCTATGATTGTAGTTATTTAAAACAAAAAACATTGTTTTTGTCTTTAAAGAAAATATTATAGTTTTTTTATATAATATTACTTTTAACTATTCTTATTGTAAGTTATTTTTAAGTTATTTATTTGAAAATTGTTAATGATTATAAAAAATAATTTCATGTTTTTTTGTTAATTTAGGATTATAATTTAGGTTTGACACTATAATTTATAATCTTTAACTATTTATAAAACAGTCTCTCGGTTTTTTTCAAGTTTAACTAAAATTTTGATTTAAGTTAATTGTTTAATATTATATCGAAATTAATAATTTAACTATTTTGCATAAAATCATAAATTATACAAATGTTGTGACTTTAAAATGATAATTGCTCTTATACGACAACATATTTAAATTAATAAGTTAACTATAATATGTTAAAAAGTTAAAGTCATAATTTTATAAATAGAAATATAATATGAGATTTTAATATTGTAGTTTAGTCAATCATTTGAATGACTTCTACCCGCGAGTTTCACATGAATAAAATTAAATATAATATATGGTTTAATCTTATTTATTACTTGTTGTTATTTTTTAATTAATTTTTTAAAATTTATTTGCTTAATGTTTTAATTTCTATCATTATAATTTTTTACAACATCGAACATTGTTTTTTTAATTTAAAGGTAACAATATAATCATTTATATAGAATTATTTTTAACTATTGTTATTGTAAGTTATTTTAAGCTACTTATTTGAAAACTTTTAATAATTATAAAAATATTTTTAGGAAATATTTTAGTTAAATTGATATTACAATTTAGTTTTTGTATTTATCACTACAATTTATCACTTTTAACTATTTACAAAATATTCTTTGGTTTTTAAGTGGAACTGAAATTTATATTTAAGTTGATACTGTAATGATATATTTAAATTAATAATTTAAATATTTTGTACCAACTGTTCAAAAGTTGTAGCTTTAAACTGATAATGGTTTACATACAAAAACATTTTAAATCTCATAAATTAAGTATAATATATTAAAAGTTAAAGACATAACTTTATAAGTAGAAGTAAATATATTATTTTAAAGTTGAAATTTAGTTTATTTATTATTACACTTTAGGTTTGATATTTTATTTAACTTTATTAACTAACTTATAATCATTATTAGAAAGATACTACAATTTATCACTTTTAACTATTTACAAAATTATTTTTTTGGGTTGTTTAAGTTAAACTAAAATTTATATTTAAGTTGACCTTGTAATGTTATATTTAAATTAATAATTTAATTATTTTATACAAATTGTTCCAAAATTGTATGTTTTAAAATGATAATGGTTTACATCCAATACTATATTAAAACTAATAAATTAATTATAATATGTTAAAAGTTAAAAAACATAACTTTACAAGTAGAAGTAAAGATATTATTTTAATATTGAAATTTCATTTATATATGATTACACTTTTGGTTTGATATTTATTTAACCTTATTAACCAACTTATAACTATTATTAGAAAGAAATTGAAAAGTCATGCGAGTTTCAAATGAATGTGGTGAAAGTAAAATTCATGGGAGTTTCAAATGAATGTGGTGAAAGGAAAAATGCTCCTTTATAATATAGTATGATATGATATGATTACAATACTAACTAAGAGCATCTAGAATGTATTAAACTTATTTGAGTTTAATGGATTGACACATCATCATTTTACTTACTATACAACTCTATATTAATTTTCCTACAACGCATTGAACTCAATAGAATACATATTTAATAGTTAAAAGGTTTCCTTTTTTTGATTGAAGAGTTCAACGATCATTGAACCCCATATCCATTGAACACCAAAATGGCATCCTACAATGGTAGAGTTCAATCTATTGAATGTCAATTAGATATGTCATTTATTCAACTCTCTCATTGAACTATGCATTATGGATGTTCTAATAAGGTTTCACTATTTCTTGTCATTTATATGAATGGAAATTGACCATTTGATCACAAACATGTAATTAGATCAATGACTTAAATTCAAAGCAGTACTTACCAAGCATGAGCGGTTCAACCATTTTGGGGGCTCAAAGCGAGCCAAAAATTTGGGGCCCTTTGGCCTTTGCTATACTCGGAAGATGAATATGTCGCAAAAATCAAAATCGATAGAAGAATGCAATGTCATTTTTATTATTTTTTATTATTTTTTTTATTTTTTTTTGTCATTTTAATTTCATGAATGCAGCGATAGTTGATTTATTCTTCCGCTTCATTTATTTTGTGGTTATCGGATTTGATTTTTGAATGGACTAAAGTTTTGGATTTGGAGAATATGGGGCCCTTAGAATTGGGGCCCTAAGCCCTGGCTTAAAAAAGCTCAACATAGAGCCGGCCCTCTTACCAAGATAAGTGCCTTGCACATCTACGAAGGCTAACAGTAAATACCAATACCAGGAAATCTACAAACCAGAAAGAACATTCATCACAACCACAAAGAAAATGAGCTTAATTAAACACTTCATTACGTGAGATGATGAACTGGAGCTTACCACTAGCTTCTGCCGGCGGTAGATTATGACACTTCCAAACACCAAAGTCAAAGCAAGATAAGAAAAAAAGCCCATAGCAAACGGAGCATTAACGCCTATAAAAGAAAATAAAGATCATAAATAATTACCTTGTGCTGAAATATATAGATATAAATGTTTAATATTCGGGTATAATAGTAACCATAATTAAAATAAGATCATTATTCTATCACTATTAGGGGTGTTTGGCTAAGCTTGTTAAAAGAACTTATTAGCTTATTAGAGGTTCCACACCGCAATAAGTTAAAAAAACGTTTAGATGAAAAATAGATTATTACGGTGAGGAATCTCTAATAAGTCATTTTTTCGCTTATAAACTAATAAACTATTAAGTTATAAGCTATTAAGCATTAAGGTTTTTTTTTGCCAAACACCCCTAAGCCTAAGTTGAAATGTTTAAAATGTAAAACGTTATTAGATGGGTCATCGGTGTTTCTTTCTTTTTGTGTGAAGACAGTAAAGGACAATTGCATTTTACCATCATTGAATTTATAAAACCAAAAAAACCAGTTACATAATTATAGTTTTGAAAATAAAATTACTTATAATGGGTTGGTTTCAAAGATCACATATGTTTGCAACGAACTATGTATAATGCAAATCAATATTTGCACTTGTTGTAAAAATTATTTTGGTGAATGCAAGTTGTCATATAAATTATTAGAGTGCAATTACTCATGAACCCTTATCGGTTTTCATTTAAACCTATATATAGCTGGTTATTAATCGGTGTTTTTTTAGTCATGAAAATAAAATAGTTGTTTCTTCAAGTTTAAACAATGTGTTGTGCTAAAAAAAGAAACATTATTTACATGAAAATGATAATCCATTCAACCAGTGGCGGATCCACAGTGTAAGAAGGGGGTCCATGGACCCCACTTAAAAGTTTATTCCAGCCTCCATTTTACTAAACCAGCCCCTCAAAAATTCATCTTTTGCTGAAATTATACCTATTGGCACCCACTTGTGCTGAAAAAAACTATTTTTGTAACATTTTTAACAGAAAAAACTCCCAAAAAATCTCAAAATTTCTGATTTTTTCTACTTTCAAATTTTTGTTTCATTTTTTATATAAGATGGACCCAGTAATAAATTTTTCTGGATCCGCCCCTGCATTCAACCCATCTTATCCTTACAAGAAAGAGTTAGTGAAAAATCTAAAACGAAAAAAATAAATAAATACTACATAAACATCTCGGCCAGGGAGATTTTGGCTGAATTATGTTTTAACTTTTTGAAGTTTATATATATAATTTTTTTAAAGGAATGATGATTTGGATGGTGATGATTTTGCAAGGGTGCCAATTTTAACTTTGAAATTTTTCTACGAGAATAATGCTATAAACAACTTTTTCAGACGATATTAATTTTAAAGAGGGAAACAGATTCAAGATTCCAGAAGGACGTAAGGATTGATCATCTTCCCGCTTTGTTCATTACAATCTCTAAATTCAATCTCTAGATGCTTCTGTTCTTCGCCTTAAATTTAATCCTCAAATATCTTTTCCTCTGATCGTGTTTACTATATTCCATCTTAATTTATTTTCTTCCTATGAAAATCATCCCAGTTGATATTAATTTTAGAGAGGGAAAAAGATTCAAGATTCAAGAACGACGAAACCATTAATCATATCATCTTCGCCCTGGTTCATCATAGTCTCTAAAATCAAACTGTACATGCTTCTGTTCTATGTTTTTAATTTGATGTTCTAATTTCTTTTCTTCTGATTGTGTTTACTATATTACATCTTAATTTCTATTTTTCGTATGAAATTCTTCGTTATTTCTGTGTGTGAATGTCTCTGTCAACGGATTGTGGTTTACAACACTTTGAAACAAGAAATTCGTAAAAGGAACTCAGGGTTTAGATAATTACCTGGATTAGCTGGTGAAAATGAATTGGAGTTGATAACTGTCATCGTAAAGGAAACGAATTGGCAAAGTAAGAATCCGTATACGAATCTCCAACTCCAAAAATCTTCGGTGACTTTTCATGGTGATCAATTTACGATTGGTTTGAAGAGAAAATCCAAAAATCTTCGGTGACTTTTCATGGTGATCAATTTACGATTGGTTTGAAGAGAAAATTTTTCAAGAAAGCCTTGAAAATCATATGGCTTCTCATAATTCAATGCAAAATGTAGAGGAAGAGTTTCCTATGTTGACAGGTGGACATAGCACACGAAGACGAAGGTGGCTATATATAATTTTCGAAAAACGGTTTTTTTTTATATATATATATATAACATGTAATTATGTGGAAAACCGTTATTTTGTTTATACATTTTATATCAAATAAAAAAGACAACAGACTAATTTTGTTATTATTAATTTGTGTAATTTCATAATCGGGATTTCAATTATTAGGTATGACGTAGTGAAATAGTATGAATAAAATGTTTTCTTAGGGCTCACGGAGTCGTTTAAAAGTTTGGAAATGGGTTAGGGCGGTACCCCTGGTACCGCCGGCAAACCACTTCTTGTTAATTGGGTTTAGCGGTTTGGATGAGTTGTTTGTTTCTATAGGGTTCACCAACCCGTGAGTTAATGCCTTCACTTTTCCTTGACTATTCAACTTTTCTTTGACTATTCACTGCATGCATTCACTCCATGCAAAGATTCCTGTCAAACTGTAAATTACTTTATTGCATGTGAGTATTTTTGATCAATATTCACCAACCTATCCGTGAGTATTTATTTTATTTATTTATTTACTTTTTTGCTTTCTTTTTATAAGTTCACGATGAATGCAAAATTTACTTTTTTGTAGTATTATTTGTAGTGTGATTTGTCTGGAAATATTTTACAAATTGGTTCAATTCCTCTATTTACCTTCAATGGATTCCCGAGGTAAAGGTAAACAAACCGGTTCTAACCAAAGACGCAAATCCACGCAAGGCGGTTCAAGTCAAAATATTTCATTTTCTTCTCCAACCTTTCATAACCCAAATCCAAACTATCAACAATACCAAAATTACCAACAAAACCAAAACTACCAACAAAACCAAAGCTATCCACAACAATATTACCCGGTGCAACAATCTTACAACACATTTACGCTTTCAGAGGAAAATATGAGTTATAATCCATGTAATCAGTTTTCTCAAAGGGTTTCAGAAACTCAATTCCAATCTTCCCAACCCGAGCATTTCCAGTTCCGTGATTCTCAGAACGTAGAATCTGAGAGTTCTAGTGACGATCCGGTTCCCGAAAGAAATGAAGAAGAAACTAGCGAGGAGTTGCGACCTGTTGTTGAGAAAAAACGCACCTTTACAAACCGCCAGAAGTCAAAAAAAATGGGTGGAACGCGAAGAGTTGGCTTTGGCTAGGGCATATGTCGATTGTTCTCAAGATAAACAGCGTGGAAACCAACAACGGTTCGATGCATTTTGGGATCGGGTTCTAGAGCATTTTAATGTTCAGATTGGAGGTTCGGATCGGACACGACACCAAGTAAACTAAAAATGGAAAGACATGTAAAAAAAATGTAACGTTTTCAACTGCATCTATAACCGTAGGATGAACAGTGTGGCTAACGGGAGATCTGAGGCTGATGTTTTAAAAGCCTCACTAAGCGAGTATCGGAGGACTATTAATCAAAAAACCTTTCCTCATCAAAAAGCTTGGGAGTGGTTGAAAGACCACGCAAAATGGGCGTTGGTTACAAAAGCTGGTGAAGACTCCCCACACAACATCTTCCGATGCACAGTATCCTCCCGGATTCCCCCAACAACAACAACCGTTTAATGCTGAAGACTCACCGCCTCAGAGAAAAAGAAAAGGAAAAAAGCGGCATCAGTATCGTCAACACAAAATGAAATGTTTGATCTTGTCAACCATATTGCCAGCATCAACACTACAACCAACACAGAGGCAGAACAGAGACAATGGTACCGGGAACAAAAATTACGCATTTTCGAAGCTAATAAAGCACTGAAAGCTCAATTGTTGGAGCGGGAGATAGAGATCCAAGATATGGAGTATTTTCTACGACGGCATGATCATTTGACTGGAGCTATTTTGAGCACGGTTCTTGAAAGGAAACGACAAATTGCAACTAAATATGGTTGGGAGTTGTAAAACCCATGAAGTTCAGAATGTCGACATCATTTGACTGAGAATCTTTTTCTTTATTATTATAATTTTTCTTTTTCTTTTTCTTTTTCTTTTTCTTTTTATTAATATTCTCTTGTTTCACTATATATATATATATATATTATATATATATATATATATATATGAATGCTTGTTTCATTATCTCTATATATATATGTTTGTTTCATTTTCTCTCTATCGTTTCTCTCTCTTTCAAAATGAATCCAAACGTTCGCAAAATAGTAATGGATGGTAACAACGATAGTTCATCATCTGAGGATGAACTTATCAACAATAATTTGTTACCTGCATTATCTCGTACTGCACAACTTCTTATCCAGAATAATGTTAGCTCAAGTAACAATCAAAGGAGAAACACAATCTAAAGAGATCGTTTAGAGGCTGAACAACTACTGATCCGACATTACTTTGCGGATGATTCAACATATGGCCATGATCTATTCCGCAGAAGGTTCCGTATGAGCAAAGGTTTGTTTATGCAACTTGTTGGTGACCTAGAGATGAATTATCCATATTTTCAAACAACATGGGATGCAACAAATCAGAGAAGTTTCAGTGGGCTACAAAAATGCACCTCAGCAATACGTCAATTAGCGAAGGGTTATAACCCAGACTCATTAGATGAGTATCTAAATATGTCAGAAAGAACTTCTCGTGAAGCTCTAGAAAACTTTTGCTATGGTATTGTCCAAATGTATAAGGCTGAATATTTACGCCGTCTAACATCCACTGACATTCAAAAATTGTATGAAGCACATGAAGCTAGACATGGATTCCCTGGAATGCTTGGTAGCATTGACTGCACACATTGGAATTGGAGGAATTGTCCAACAGAATTGAGAGGCCAATACATGAGGGGTGACCATCAGTATCCAACAATGATACTTGAAGCAGTGACATCACAAGATTTATGGTTTTGGCATGCATTCTATGGTGTAGCTGGTTCGAACAATGATTTGAACGTCCTCTACCAATCACCATTGTTTGATGAGAAATATCATGGAACAGGACCTGATTGCTCATTTGATCTGAATGGTGAACACTACAAGCATGGTTACTATCTTGCCGATGGAATATATCCAACATGGGCTGTATTCGTGAAGGCATATCCACATCCAATAATCGACAAAAAGAAACGGTTCAAGGCGGCACAAGAATCAGCAAGAAAGGACGTAGAACGTGCGTTTGGGGTCCTTAAAGGACGTTGGGACATATTAAAGATGCCGACACGGGCTATGACGGTGAAGAAAACAAAAAACATAATGTATGCTTGTATTATACTGCACAATATGATACTGAAAGATGAGGGTGCTGCGATATCTCCTGTGCATCAGCCCGACCCCCCCAATGACGAAGTCGAAGACCCAGAAATCATACATGAATTGCGCAATGATGAAACCCACCACCAGCTTCGATCTGATCTTACCGATCACATTAAACATGTCTACATTTCAACTTTTGGATAACTAGTTAATTTTAATTATTGTTTTAGGATTTTAATTATTTTGTCTTTTTGAAGTGTTTTTTTTAATTATCTTGTATTTTTTCTATTTGTAGTGTGGTTTTTTTAATTAATGTTATTTTTAATATTATTTAAAAAAATTTGTTTTAAATTAGCAAATATTTATTTTTAAATAAAAATGCTATATTTTATTTTATTTTATATTTTTTAATTTAATTAAATGATGTGGAAAGTGGGTTGAGTGGGTTGGGAAAGATAGGATTTCCATGTGTTGTGGGTTGGGAAAGATTGAAGTGAGAGAATAGAAAAAAGCTGATGTGGCAGTGGGTTGAGTGGGTTGAGAGGGAAGGACTCCCTCCTCCCTTATTGATAACATCTCATAAAAATTAGGGTGCCGTTAAAAAAACACAATAATAAGGTCGAGGTGTGTGAATGTTATCACTACAAGAATAACAACCAATAGCGTCGATGTTTTTATCTGCCACATCAAAAAAACACATTTTTTTTCGCCACTAAAAGTCATTGACGCCGCTATTGGCTGATGTTGGCGATCCAAGTCATTTCAACCCAATACGTTGATTTAAACGCTATTTGTTGGAAACCCCTCGTTGTTTTTCCTTCCGGTATATCGCAACAAATACTATGCCATCGATGCTAAAGGGTATCGCCAATAAAAGTCATCAATCATAACCTCCGCCTCTTCCTCAGTTTCTTTCCCAATCGATTCGTGTTTCCCTCCTTCTCTATGGCTATGTTTGGCATACTTGGGCAAAATATAGTTGTTAGCTGAAAAGCTAGCTGTTAAATAAAAAACTAGCTGATAGTTGAAAAGCTAGCTGATTGAAAATGACGTTTGATAAAGCTAGCTGAAAAATGTTAAATGACATAAAAGGACATTTGAAAGAATATGTTTTTATAATTAATTAAGGGGTATATTTGGAAAATTTTAAAAAAGCTCCTAAAAAGCTTGTCTAAGTAGCTTTTTAAAAAGCTAGCTTATAAGCTAATTTTTGGTTTGCCAAACACGACTACTTAAAAAAGCGCAAAAACTAAGCTACCTTTTCAGCTAGCTGTGGCGCGCCAAACATAGCCTATGTCGGATTGAGCGCATCACCGTCGATATTTTCACGGACAAACGGCGTTCTTCTCCGGCGACCTCGACATTGCTTAAAATTCCAGCCAAATATAGACAACGATTCTCATGAGGGGTGACCACCACCATTTCCAGCAATAGGTGATGTTCTCCACTTTTTCTCTTTTTATTTTCCTTTTCTCCTCTCCCCACTGAAAATACTCGTATCTTATGTTGGTTGCCGGAATTTTGAGATCCCCCACCAGGAACCCTTGCTATTGTCGGAGTATATTGTCACCACCACTTTTCTCGATGGAGTTAGCCACCGTAGCCACCACACGTTTTCTATATTTTTGTGTTTATATATATATATATATATATATATATATATATATATATATATATATATATATATATATATATATATATATATATATATATATATATAGATAGATCCGGTAAGAAATTTTTTTGGTAGGAAGGTAAGAAGTGTTTTTTCTACATATTTTTTTGACGAACAAAAAAAATGAATCACTAGATGATTCATTTGTAAGATGATTCATAAGAAAAAATTCCCAAAAAAACATCTTTATGATTAATTTTTAAGTAAATTAAAAAAAAATTCACTTTTATGACAATTTTAGTGAATAACAACAAAATCATTGTATAAATGAATCATCGAGATGTTTTTTGAGAATTTTTTCTTGTGAATCATCTTACAAATGAATCATCTAATGATTCATTTTGTTTGTATGCGAAAAAAATATGTAGAAAAAAAACTTATTACCTTCCTGCCAAAAATTTCCTTCTTATTTGATCTTGACTCTATATATATATATATATATATATATATATATATATATATATATATATATATATATATATATGTTTATTTTGATTATGTAGATCTCTCTTTATATATGCATTTGTATGTATATCTACTATGTATGTATTATCTATACTATCTTATTATACAAACCTTACTATTTCTAAAAATAGATTTAAGACGTGCAAACCTTTAAGCTGAATGTACAAATATTTATCAACAAATTACAAAATACAATGCATTAAGTACAAATATAAAATTAATATTGAAATATTCAAACCTACAGTCTTATCTTACCCAATATAGATGATTTAAATTTTAAAAAAAATCATACTTTTTGACTAGAATGAGTCAACATAACTTTTGAAATCTATATATATATATATATATATATATATATATATATATATATATATATATATATCTTTATACCATAATAAGCATTTAGTTTTAAATGCTGAATTTTAAGAGATACGAGGCTTACTTATACCATAATAAGCATTTAGTTTTAAATGCTGAATTTTAAGAGATACGAGGCTTACTTATACCATAATAAGCATTTAGTTTTAAATGCTGAATTTTAAGAGATACGAGGCTTACTGCACTTTGTACTATGCATTGAACTTTTAATTATTCAACAAAAATCAGAAAGTAAAGGCTAAGACGTGTGTTTGAATCGGTAATCCCTACTCTGAGCCCTTTGAATCGGTCAAACACGCCTATTTGATCACATCTTCGCTTTTTTACTTATCGTTTGACTGAGTCTCGCATGTATTTGACCAACCCCCACCTATCTGTTTCCTTTCTGTCCTTATCTTGACCTGTTCTTTCTCTTTCATCCGCCCAACATGTAGTTTAAAACACCGAACAGTGGAGAATCGCTATTTGAAACACCACCATCACACCACTCACGACTACTGATGCATTCGTCGCACTTCTGAAAAACCTAGAACCAACAACGCTTAATGCCACCATCACCAACTAACCACCATCTCGGAACCCACATTGCCTTCAACCACCATCACTGAAAAACCCCACCACCTTCGTTGCTCTCTGTCTGTGCACACTCCACCAAAAAGTTGGCGATGTCACCACCACCATACAACTACACCAATGATGACGTTGAATCTCATAACCAGCCACCATTCCTTCTTTCTCTGTTTCTGTCACGATCTTCGTTTTTGTATTAATGAAGATAAGATTGATATGCAGGTGACAATGGAAGGATATGTGTTTACGTTGGTGTTGTAATTTTTTATTTTTATTGTTGGTTCTAACCCTAATCAGAGCACTATCTTAATTTATGCTTGCTAATTTCTAGCCCTGAATCCATTTTTTGTTGATGTTATTTATATTCGAATTATGTATGTGCTCTTTATTTTTGGTCGATGCTTTCTATATTTAACTAATATTGTTTTCTAACCCTAATTCAATTTTGAATTATGTGTGTTCTTTATTTTCAAGCCTTGATTTACTAACTTGATGTTTCAGATCAGTTAGACCACTAACTTGTGGTAATTGGGGTTTTTTAGGTACAAAGGATGTTGCTGCAGATGGACTTAGTAAGCAAGTATCCAAGGGTCATCTTTAAGAAGCAATGTATCCATTTTCTTTAAGAGTAATAAGGCACTTGGCCTAATCTACTCATACAGAGGTTTGTTAATTGGATATGGAAGATGAGTCAGTTAATTTAACTATTTACTTTTCTAGAACCAGATCTAGAAAATTGTTCATGATTTTTATTTGACACTCATGGTAATGTTTTTCAGTTTAAAAGTTTGATTGTATAATTTTTTAAAATCAAATTTCATGTTCAAAGCTTATGGAGTTATGGTATTGTAAAAAATGTCAAACATTGTGTAATTTTGAACATTATAGGTTCTGTTCAAGACTAGACTGGGTGAAAATTTCTCTTCAATCTCAGTTTCTCCCAAATCCTACTATGTTGAATATTTTTCTTAAAGGTAGGTGAAATATAGTGTTCATAGTTATAATAAATTTGTTTTTATTTGCTCTGGTGGGTTGTGTTATATCTATAATGGCAACTTCTAGTTTTGGTTCCTATACCTTTTCAGTTAAATTAAAATAATCGTTGTTCAGTAATTAAATTCTTTTTTTTTTGTTTTCGTTATGATGATTTTCACAATCCTTTTTTTTTTGTGATGAACAGAAGATGAAGATTTTAAGGCCATGGGTATGAAAGAAACTTCTGCTACATTTTGAGGTATGGTTTAAAAGAAGTGGACTGATGAGGTTAGTGTATATGCGGGTTGTTTGACAGGATATGCGTGTTTTGTTCCTGGATTTAGTTGGGATCTTTTCGCTTTTGGTTAAGTTCTCTTGTGAATAATTACATGGTTGATAAAGTGGTTGGGCAAAATGGAAGGAAATATCATATTTTGTAAATTGCACTTGATTCGATATGTTTATTTCTTTAGTAAAAGTCAATAATTCATATCAAAAGGTAAAATGACTATGTGTGTATGCGGGTTAAAAAGTCTACATATAGAAAAGTTTGTACTTATAGAAAGGCGTTGTTGGAAATGAGAATGTGGCTTCAAGATGTGACATCCCCTAATTTCTCGGCCAGAAAAGACGATTTCGTTTATGCTTTTTAAAATAAAATCAGAGTAATCCTTTTAAAAGGTGTTGCGGAATTTGTTCACATTAAAACATGATAATTATATTATCAAATCATTTCTGAAGAAATGTATTTTATTCACTTAAACCGTTGAGATGTCATCGTCAATACAGAAACATAAGCATAAATAGAACTTACACTCACTTACACTAATGATCTACATTTCTTTTAATCTCTCAGTGTAAAGTAACTTCGTATCGATACCTGTGATACAAACAAACTGAGTGGGTCAGGCTTGGGAGCCTGGTGAGCATATAAGGTTTTCAACCCACAATAAATAAATTTATTATGCTTAAACATCAAACAATCAACCCAATTACCCAATCCCCATTATCTTATTTGTTTCTTAAGGATTTACCCTAAGAATCGACTTTCCTTCATCCAATCATTCCTCAGGATTGACCTAAGGAATTTATCCAAAGTTCATTGCTATAAAGGTTCATACAACAGGCACTACGTCACATAGTCGCCAGGGTTTATACAATAGGCACTACGTCTCATAGTCGCCAGGGTTTATACAATAGGCACTACGTCTCATAGTCACCAGGGTTTATACAATAGGCACTACGTCTCATAGTCGCCAAGGTTTATATAATAGGCACTATGTCACATAGTCGCCAGGGTTTATACAATAGGCACTACGTCACATAGTCGCCAGGGTTTATACAATAGGCACTACGTCACATAGTCGCCAGGGTTTACTCAGTAGGCCTCTCATCATTTTATCACACACCAACTATTCCATCTACCCATGTTATACCCAACATCTTTGTAGATAAAATACATACACAGTTTAAATCATTTTAAACTTGTATGAATCATTCATTCAACAATCATTTCAAATAAACAAACAATACATATACACATAGCACGTATTTTATATAAAATACTTCATATCTATTTGTAAGATGAAAGTGACTATACACTCACATGATTTGATGATAATCGGGCAGCACTTCGTTTCCTAAAACGATCGTTTCTAATAAAACCGAGAGTTTTATTGAGAAACCGGGCTTTGCGAGGGTCGGGCTTCGAAGCCGAAAAGATAATTTTCTCGGGCACTCCGGGGCGTATTCCGGGGGTTATAATTGATACCGGGGCTTTGGGGGAAGTTAGAATAGTGAAAATATGAGTTTAGGGGTAAAAAGTGGCAAAAATACAAATCTAGCCAGGAGGGTTCGCATGCTATTTATAGTGTGAGAGGGCTCGGATCCGAGGGCTGAGAAGCCTCCACGCGTCAGCAGATCCGGAGGGACAGCACATGGGTTGCGCATGCGAGGGCCTCGCTGGCAGCTCCTGATTGGACCGAAGTCTGGGTCCGAGGAGGGGGGGGGGGGGTTCCGTGGCACCCTGCGATGCTCGGATGCACGAGGTCAGATTTGGGCATTCTTCGAAAAATCATCACTCGATCTAAAATTCAAGTTTTTAGCTATCTACTGCTAAGTTGAAACTTCGAAAAATCATAACTTTCTTATACGAAGTCAGATTTGGGCATTCTTTTTATACCTACTCTCGGTTTAACGAACACTACGACTTTCGTTTAGATTACTAAGGCTAAAAACTAGTTTATCAAAAACTCACTTTTTACGACATTCGGCACCATGCCGGTTTTGTCGCGAAACTTCGACATGTCATAACTTCTTCGTTATAACTCGGATTTCGGCATTCTTTATATATCCGTAATCCTTGTCACGACCACTACAACTTTCTTAATAAATATCGGCTTTATCTAATATTTATTTTCGACGCTCATTTTTACTCTTAATTAATTAAACCCTAATAATTAAGCATAAAACACATAATTTTCACATAATATTCACATAATTCCTTTTCATTTCTTCTAAATGAGTTACAAAGGTTAACCTAGACTATCACGACAATATTAATGCTTAGCCTAGAAACACGGGCGTTACAATTCTCTCCCCCTTAAGATGATCCCGTCCCCGGAATCACACATCAGCAAACAAACGCGGGTAGCGACTCATCATGTCACTCTCCGTTTCCCAGGTGAGATTTGGCCCATTCGTATGTTTCCAACGCACAAGCACTAAATCAACCATCTTGCGTCGCAACTTCTTAGTCTTACGGTCAACGATTGCCTCAGGTTCTTCAATTAACCTCTTGTTTTCATCCAACCTTAATCCAGGGATTGGAATTATGTCGGGAACATCTCCCGTGAACTTCCTCAAATAACACACATGAAAGGTGTTATGAATACCCTCTAGTTCTTCCGGTAATTCTAGCTTGTAAGCTTGATTCCCGATCTTCTGAAGAACTTTAAATGGTCCAATAAAACTTGGACTCAACTTTCCCGAACCACGTAACATACCTATCTTAGTCGGACTCAATTTGATATGACCTCTAGGGTCGGAATAACAATCATCTTCTTAGTCATTACCGAAACGAAGGTAATGAAATACTCGAACAATAACATAATCAATTTCTAGCTTCTTGGTAACCTTGTGACTTTCCTTGATCCAAGTACGAGTCCTGTGCTTCCGGTAGTATAGGCCTCTACTACCATTCACACCTACTCATACTCGTCCCAAATATTATCTCGCAGTTCTCCAAGTCACCGTACAAGAATTTCACATAGTCATTCAATTCATCAGATGACAAAACCAGGGTTTATATTATTTCTTGAAATAATTACACAAAGGTTCAAGTTTACCCTATACTATGCCTCTAATAGGCTACACCACAAGTTACTAACTGCATTGCTACTTTATGTCTTAGTTTCGGGAATATAAGGTCCTTACTCCTGATCCCTTATATTTCCATCTGCTTCATTAAGGATCATTTAGAATGCCTTTGGTTTTGGCGGTGTGTTTTTCTTTGGGCAATCTCTAGAAATATGCCCTTCTTCGTTACATTCGTAGCACACCTTTTTGTTAGATGCGCATTTGTTGGCGTAATGCCCTGTCTTCCCACATTTGTAGCAAGTCATCTCCTCGCTACACTTCCCGAAGTGTTTCTTTTTACACTTCTCACACCACTTAGCTTTATCTCTTCCTCCAGATTTTGAGAATTTGCTTTCTTTGATGATCTTTGAAGATCCCTCATGCTTCCTTTTCTCTCCAACTTCAGCTCTCTCCAAACCTTTCTCTCTTATCTGAGTCTCGACATTCTTAGCAGCCCAGATGGCGGCTTTCAGAGTGGTTGCTTGTTTGACTATCGGACCAAAGTCCGCTGGTAAACCGTGGGCAAACTTGTTAACCTTGGAGAGTTCAGTTGGAATTAGATAGGGAATAAGCTTCATCTTTTCTGTAAAACTAGTAGCGTACTCGATGACGCTCATTCTCCCCTTCTTCAGATTCTGGAACTCATTGTTGATTTCCAGAAGATCCTGCTCAGAGCAGTATTGCATTTTCAGTTGCACCACGAACTCTTCCCACGAAATCTTGATAGCTTCCCCCTTGGGCATCGAACCAGCAAGTAACTTCCACCAGCCCAATACACCAGATTTTAACAGAGGAATTGCAAGAGCGGTCTTCTGTCTGTTGCTACACTCGCAACTTTCAAACATTGTCTCCATCTCGGAGATCTAGTCCATAACTTCCACTGGGGTCGGACTACCAGATAGACACGGTGGTTCGGATGCCATGAAATCTTTATATTTGCATCCGCGTCCATCAACTCCTTTATCCTGGTTGTTTTGTCTAACTATCGGTGGGTTGGCTTGACCAAGCGTCCCACTGTAGTTCCCTCCTACTGATTGCCCTTCATTCAATTCGGGCTGTTCAACAGGTATCGTAGTTTCTTCCCTATTCTGTTGTAGTAATCGCATTGTCTCCTCCATTTGGCGATCCAACATCATCTGCATCATTGCTTGTACCCCAGCCATCGTCATTGGCTCAGGTGCAGCTCCTACAACAGGTACTTGCTCAACTACTTGGGGTTGAGGTTGTTGATTCCTGTTTCCGTTTGCATTTGCAACTCCACTGCGAGTTCTTGCCATTATAATCTATATACAGAATAAGGCGAATTTAGGTCTTTACACTCGATAGGTATTTAAATTCCTTTATCACTCCGAAACGTTTACATGTTAGTTCTAATATCGTAATCGTACGCTTAGAATCCTACACACATAAGGTTTCCAGATCCGGTCGACAACAGACCATAGATCCGAACAAATAATGGCATATATGGCAAACATATAGCATTTAGCACATAAAAACATTTTAGGCATCTTTCCTAAAATAAACTAGTGCTCGTATCTAAAATATGGTAGACACTCATCTCACAATCATCACTTAGAATTCTAAGTTTAAGTCTAGAAATCCTACAAATTTCTTAGTTCGCTTAAACTAATGCTCTGATACCAACTGTGACATCCCCTAATTTCTCGGCCAGAAAAGACCGATTTTGTTTATGCTTTTTAAAATAAAATCAGAGTAATCCTTTTAAAAGGTATTGCGGAATTTGTTCCCATAAAAACATGATAATTATATTATCAAATCATTTCTGAAGAAATGTATTTTATTCACGTAAACCATTGGGATGTCATCGTCAATACAGAAACATAAGCATAAACAGAACTTATACTCACTTACACTAGTGATCTACATCTCTTTTAATCTCTCAGTGTAAAGTAACTTCGTATCGATACCTGTGATACAAACAAACTTAGTGGGTCAGGCTTGGGAGCCTGGTGAGCATATAGGGTTTTCAACCTACAATAAATAAATTTATTATGCTTAAACATCAAACAATCAACCCAATTACCCAATCCCCATTATCTTATTTATGTCTTAAGGATTTACCCTAAGAATCGACTTTCCTTCATCCAATCATTCCCCAGGATTGACCTAAGGAATTTATCCAAACATCATTGCTACCAAGGTTCATACAACATGCACTATGTCACATAGTCGCCAGGGTTTATACAATAGGCACTACGTCACATAGTCGCCAG